TTTTTTTTCCACAAACTTAAGATTGCAGCCAAGTATAACCACAAAATGATTGCTGTCCTCAGCCACTAACAATCTGCAGAGTTTCTGGCTGTTTCAGCCATCAATCTCATTCAGCTGACTGATGGAAGAAGTAAATGAAGGACAAGAAATCCACTTCAATAAAATCAGCTGCTTCTCTTACAAAATTCTCCAGCTTCCAGCTAATAGCTCTTCTCAAGCTAATAATGCCAGTTGGTTTCCCAAGGTACAAAGAAACGAAGAGACACCCCTCTGCTTCCACCCTCTGGCCAAATTTGGCCAGGATCACTCAAACACAACCCATCACCCCACGGTGCATGTTCAGATCAAGCTGTTCCTTCTTCCAGAAGTCCTGCCTGGTCTTCCACATATTATAACTTCTTGTACAGTTCTTGTAAGAACTTCCGTGCCACTAAGTTGAAGTGCAAGGAAGGAAGAATATCCCAGTAATAAGGGACTTCTCATTTTCATTACTTCCCCTCTTTCTTTCCAATTACATACAAATAATAAAGACTGACTGCTGGCAGTATTACTTGTGCACCAGGCCAGCAGGACTCATTAGTACGGAGCTTCCCAAACTGTGGTCCATGAACCATCAACAACAGCAAAGCCAGAGCAAGAGACCCATAGCTGGACCCTGGAATAAGATTCAATAGGTTCTCTGGTTTTCTCCACACAGGTCCTAGTGCATTCACTAGTGCCACCTACCACTTCCTTGGCTCTGTGTTTCCATACATTTCAGATTTGCACTTTGTGTCTCACAAGCCAAGATAAAGCATTCCCAGGAATTTAATACTGAACAAATGGCAAAAGAAAGCAAAGTGCCTTGCCTCATCTCGTCATCCAGAAAGGTGGAAAGCAGAGCTCCAGCTGCTCATCCCAGCCACAGAGTGTCCAGCAGATGGCAACTTCCAAGTTTTCAAGCTATCAGAGACAATTCCCCTGTGTCTTTGGGTGCCTACCCAATGGAATCAGAGCCTTTATATAACTTTTTGAAGGCTTTAACTGCTTTGTAATGCATACAAATTTAGTATGTTTTAACAACAGAAAGGAGACATAGGCACAGAAATAATTACTGGTAAGTTCGATAACAAATAAATTTCTTTGCCTCCTTTCTTTTTGTCGCTGTCTCCCCTCTATAACTTCTAACAAAAGCATTCTGCAAACTCTGTGCTTTACTGAATTTCTCTATTGGTTAAAGCACTACCTGAAGAGTCAGACAAAGATACTCAATTATTTGAGGGGCAAATTGCTACCAATCTAGCCAGTTTTCCCTAGCACAGGATCTAAGGAAAGCACAAGCCACTGGCAACACGAGTCTTTGAGTCTTGGAGGTTTGGGAGTTAGAAGTCGAAGCAAGTGGGAATGCTGCATAAGCCAAGGGGGTTAAGGGGATGACCTTTTTCTTTCTATAGCACTCTCTCGGCCTTTAGGATATATCCCACCTTTTCCTAACAACAACAACGAAAAAAGAAGGCAAGCAGAGCCTTGGATTAAAAGCACAGAAAGAAAACAGTTCGTTTTACTGACTGTAAAGAAACGCTGGATGTCCGGAGGACAGAGTGAGGAAAACAAATGTTCTTCCCTGGGTATTTCACAGTGAAATACAAATATTTCATTATGAAATAAAAATAGTCTGCCCTGCAATCATCTGAGGTGATCTTCAGTCTTGAGGGTTCAGTAATTCAACAAATGAAAATCAAAATCCATAAAAATGAATGAAATCAGACAAGTATGATGTATCAGGTGACAAAAGTTATTTTGGGAGCTTACAAACCAGTGCAGTGATACAATGATGGCTCCTATACATCTGGCAATATTCCAGGAAATGGCCTCTGAATGGCAATTCCCATTAGAGTGGCAGTGCTGCTCTCTATTAATGTTTTGCCTGCGTTTCAGTATCTTAATACCCCAGAGTAGTTGCAAATGCATCAGGAGCAATTTGCACAGGACTCTTCATGAAGAAATGAGCTATTCTAGGAGTATCCACTTTTTTTCTCTGCATGTAATAGCTGCTAGTCTGCCGTACCAACGGACTGATTCAGCACCAATACTGACAGGGCATTTCAGCCTCTAACACTTGTGAAGGAGCTTTGTTTTCCCTTTAACCATCAGAAAGGGGAGGAGAAATTCTCTCTGTTTTCACAGTTATATGACAGCTCTTAAAAATTTTACAGCATGAGCGCTGCACCTAATGCAACAAAGCCTGCCAGGAACATTTAAAATCAAGGTCTCAGAGATTTCGTTTCCTATAAATTCACCAGTATTCTAAGAAAAGGATCTTTTCCTCAGAAATGCAGTACCAATCCCACTGGAATTGCACAGGACTGAGGACTGTTTTTCTGCCATACTGTGGAAAAGAGAGCTGAAAGTACTGGGAAATAGGCTGTAGGGATGCACAAGATGTACTGGAGTTAATGAACAGGAACAGGAAGAAGAAAATATGATTTCTGAAGGAAATCAAAGCATTTGCTTGAAACAATAAAAAGCAGGAACAACCTATAATAGGCATTTAATTCATTTAACGTAATGACTGTTCTCAATACATGAAAATAACTGCAGTTTTTATTTGGAGGTCAAAGCATGAAAAAAAAAGTCCTCTTCCTACCTTAAACTCTTGTCTGTAACTAACCAACCACCTAGAGAAGGGTGGAGGGGAAAGGTGGAGCCAGCAAAACTTCTGTGACCATGTATGCAAAGAAAAATCCTGTTTTCTTGCAGAGATGCTTTTCCTTTAATTTCACAAAGTAAAACATGACCGATAACTCACAGCACGATGGAAAACAAAACAGCATCATCAACCTGTAATCATGCTAAGATTTTTGATCACTAGAAATGGAAATTTTTTCTGCTTTTACTAAGGATAGGTCAGCTTAAGCCAGTACTTTTAAACATCATCCATTTTAGTTACTTTCTATACTGTGAGAAGGTGAAGAGCTGCATCTATTATAACTACATGCTGTGCAAACTTCATTTGGACATGATCATCATCAATCACTCCTGCTGTGCAGGTAGCATGTGAAAGGGAAACAAAACAGAAATCGTGCTGCAGTATTTGACACCACCCACTCCCCTGCTCGTATGCTTTAGTTCATGAAGAGCCCTGTTGACACACAGTTATTCTCTTTTTGGGACCCCTGTCTTTTCTCTCCCTCCAAGCATAGCTTGGAATAGCTCTGATGGCTTCAGGGGGAAAACAAAAACCTTTCTTTCTCTCTCAAAGTATTAAAGCTTTGCTACTGAGAAGCATGCCAAAGATATACTACTATGTGCCACCTTGCCTTTGTAAATACACAGTACTTGCAGCAGTACCTCTTCTTATCACATGTCTATGCTTCAGTGGAAGATGAATATTGTAATAGGATTCAGAATGCCTGTATCCTTTGTGGCAGTGCCGTGCCCAGTCCTGAAAAGAGCTATTAATGCCAGCACTCAATTGCTTTTCTCTAGCAGACACTTCAACTAGCTGTCAGTGTTATAATCTTGACCAGGGACAGTCAGTAGAGGCACAAGGCTTAAAAGAATAAGGAAGATAATGTTCATCTTTTTCAGAAAGGTTCAGAGAAAGCTGCAATAAACATTAGAAAATTTTTAGGAAAGCAGAAGCAACCAGAGTCAGCCTTGAAAGACACACTGCAGTCTTACCAACACACTTTCTACCAGCTTACTTAGGATGAAAAGATAGCACCCTCATTGTGTTTCATAGCTCTGGTTAGTACTCTGCCAATTTAGTGGACTTGAACTAGTTTATCACACCCCGACTCCCTGGTATGACTCAGGTCAGCAGAAGTTGCCTGCACTTTGTATTTTCTGATGCACTGCAGCACGCCTGGCTTTAAACAGCTGTACAGCAGTGCACACTAGAGAACAGCTCTTTGCATCTCACTCACAGCCCTCCATGTACCTCCACCAATTCATGAGAGCACAGGCAATCAGTAATACAGACACGGTAACATACAATTGCAAACATATACCCTCTCCTTAAGTGCCAGGGCTTAAGTGGTGTCACTTTATAATACACCTTATTTGCCTCAGCATGTTAATAAACCGCTCAGGAAGAATGAGTCATTTAAAGGCACCTCCTGATGATCTCGCAACAGACCCTCCCACATATGATTCTGGACAGGAGACACTGAACTAGAAACCACTTCCTGCCCCAGCAATCATACTACTCCCTTTTTAACAGGACAAACAGCGTTTATGACCCGAACCCCCCCAGTGAGCTTCTTTAGTCTCCAGCTACAGCCTACACTCCATGTCATGGGAGTGAAATGCCCAACCAGTGTGTTGTTGACATCCACCTCATTTATTAAAAACGTGATACAGAGATGCACATCCATGTGTCCTGCTGACACACACATGCCTCGTAGAGATTTGTAAGCTCCTCCACAGAATAGCAGCCTCAGAAGCAGTGAGGAGGGCTCTGGTCTCCCTCCACCCTTCAGAGCCATGTCTTCAACTGGGAATGGCAATGCCAGGTCCCATCACCGACTGGGACAGAGAATGATTACCTGGAGATTCCTGACACAGGCTTTCATATTGTGGTGTACCAAGTGTGACATCGGCAATATAGCAATGGACATAAGCATGTGCTCAACTCTACAATCATGAATGGCCTCAGCAATTTCTATAGGACTATGCATGACTTTTGAGGCAAGCACACGTGAGAATGAAAGATCAGGGCACAAAAAAAGAGTGTACAGCTCCCATTGAAAAAAAGTGATGAAGGCATTCATGCAACTGGCCTCTAGAAACACATTCTTCTGCCTTGTATCACAGTTTTCAAAAGCAGCTGAAGGCCAGGAAAAGAGAGGATGAAGAAAACACTCAGAAGGCTGTCTACACAAATTAAAGAGGCCAGACACCACTTTGTTCAACTTCCAAGTTTAAACTTTTACGTTTTAAAGAAGCAACAAGTTCACCTTCCATCTTAGTAAGCAGACACAAAGGCAACCGTCTCGCAGTTTCAAATGTGTACTCACCCAGAAGAGAAGGTTGAAAACAAACATTAGGTACTTGATACACTGCAGGCAGTTGTGAGCCATGCTGCACCTCTTCAGTTCTAGGAGAAAAATAAATGAGAGATCCAGGTAAAAGACAACGTACTTGTTTCCCTTGGGGGACGTGTACTTAGCCTTGGTGGCCTTTGGGCCTGGGTTGGTGTGGAATCCAAAAAAAGAGTTGCTGGCAGCCCCAAACTGGCCACCATACATGCTGCTGTAGCGACGAAAGGTGCCATTTGGGAAACTGTAATCCTTGCTGTCCAGGGAAGGGCTCCTGTGATAGGTCGACTCATCGGTGCTAGACCTGCGCATGGTGGCTTCAGCTGTCCCTTCCACTGCTGTTCTGACAGCTGCCGGGCGTCGACGGCGCGGGTGAAAGGTCTGTGATCTTCTTTCCTCCTCCTTGCTATGAATCCCCTATTGCTTTGTGCCAGCTGTTCTTTTGTCTGCCATCCTGTCAAGGAGTTACGTCTGCTGTACGGCAGCAAAGTTGGTGAACTGAAGTCTGCTTAGCCAGGAGTTAGGGAGCAGCGTGCTTCCACATGAGAAAGACTTCTGCACAAGTAAACATTCCCGTCACTGTCACAATCGTCCCTCCCGGCCCACCCCGCTACCAGGGAAGAAAAAATCAGAGAGAGATATACTGTACCCAAAGCAAAGAATTTTAAAAAAAGGAAGTGTGACCTCGCTCGGTTCCCAAATGCCATATAAAACCCCGGCTCCGCATGCCACACACAAACAAGAGAGTGCCGCCGCACAAGACCTGCGGCAGGGGCAGGTATTATCCAAAAGGCAAGCAGCTCCCGTGGCCCTTTCCTCCTCGCCACATCGCTCTGCCCCGAGACGCCGAGCTCACTTTCAGCATCCCCGCATCCCCTTCCAGCGGCGGGAGCCTGTGGCACGCCAGCCCCGGCGCTCCATTCCCGGCGCGGCCGCCCCTCCTCCGAGCGCCGCGCCAATGGCGCTCCCGGCCCGCCCGCGGCCGCGCCCCTCCCGCCCCCGGCCCGGCCCCGGCCCCGGGGCACACCCCGGCCCACACCACGCCGACCGACAACCTCCCGTCGGATGGGGATGCGGCGGGAACCCCCGCCCGAGGCAGGTCTCGGGGCCGCGGCCCCCCCCCCCGCTCCGAAACTCTGAGCGCGGAGAGCGAACCTGGTGCAGGTGGGTCCTGAGGGGCTGCCCGGATACACCGACGGCGCTGCCGAAAGGAACGGGAATGAGTAACCGCTGTAAAGATTTCGCATGCATAAGCTCTGGGGATGCTTTGGGGAGAGCGGGGTCAGGACAGGCCGTGCTCCCCTTGCCGGAAGGCTTGTTTGTTCCACTGCAGATCCATCACCGGGATTTTCCTAATTCGCTCAGTCCCACAGAATCATCACTCAGCACAATGTATGGCCAGCTCATTTGTCCCCCTGTCAGGTAAGCTACTCATCGGCATCATGTTCAGTACGCTGGGGAACACTTCCCTAAAATCTGACAGCTCCCACCGGCAGTAAAGAGTTGAAAATCTGCCACACACAACTTTTTCAGAAAGGAAAAATCTTACTGAAACTGTGGGAATTACAGTATTAACACTCAGGAAAGTAAGACTCATTTACCATCTCTGTCCCAAATTCCCTGTGAAAGTAACTCACTTGTCTCTGTAGTGCCACTTCTGATCTGTGAAATGGGCTGGCTTGTCTCTGCCTTCCTCCTCTCCTCCTCTGTCTGCCCTTTGATTTTGACTGTAAACTACTGGAGCCAAGTGAAAAGATGGCTGGCTAATATTTTTTAAAAGGCTTGCCCCAGCAGAGAATTAATCAAGATGAAAACAGGTTTCTTGCATGAAGCATCCTGCAAGTCTCAGCACAAACTGAGAGACACAGGCACCAATTAATTAAAGAACAAATTAGTAAAAGTAAAATGAGCTGGTTATGCACATAGCCTGAGCAGTTCACCCTTGCAAACCACCCTCTAATTCTGTTAATTTACAAACTGCAAACCTAGAGTCTAATTATTTCTCTTCATTTCCTCCACAGACTATAAATACACTGACCATACCTGGTGCAAGCTTCAGAGACAAAGAACTTGAGCACAAAACACAAGGGTAGTAACCCCTGCGCCATCTATTTCAACAACTTTGATAACTTACAACTTTTCCACTTTTTAATTTCCCTACCTCTAAAATTTGAGAGACTTCATAGCCCTGATGGAAGTCAGTTTTCTACTCTTTCTCCCTCCCTTTCTTGCACAGTATAAACTCTGTCCCCATAAAGGAGTCTTCCTTTCCTAGCACATTAAGGTTGGTCCCATGGAAGCAAATCTGTTCTCACTCTGAGTTTCCAATATACCATTAATTTTCCCTGTGGCACCAGGCAGTTCTGTCTCCAACCTTCCTCCTCGTCTCTACTGCAACTAGACCAGTTTGGCAACAGAAGCCAAAGGTGATTCAAATATTTTCTACATTGCCTGTGAGTATACAAAAATGCCTATGCAAAGAGCTTCATATTAAATGTTTTTTTCTCAGCACACAAATTATGCTGAAACAGTGACAAGTCAGATAACTGTTATTTAACAAGAGTGTCCATGGTATTGCATGTAAGGGAGGAGAATTTGGCATATTTACCGTAAACTAGACATCTGAAGCCCTAAAGGCAGCTCATTTGCTATCTGGATAAGAAGAGAGTTAGAAATCACTTGATATCACCTTCCCTTGAGGCAAGAAATCATCAATTCTTAAGAGAATTAAGTCCTTAATATGGGTGGAATAATTTATAAAGCCAAGATCTGAGGTACAAGGGAGAGTTTCTAAATGTCGCTTTTAAATAAAAAGTAATAAACATCGACACACTGTGGATATATTTCAGACAGCTACAGAAGAATGCATGAGGAAGGCAGAGGTCCTGCATGACCCATAAAATAAGAGTGCTTTTACTCCAGCCTCCTTTCAGCATCATCCCTTAGCACACCTCTTGGAAATGACAACTTTTTAAAGGCACTTTAGTGTAAAATTTAGTTCTCAAGTCATTGCTGTTGTTCTTTCTCGTGCCAATACCAACAACTAATTAAAAACAGATTCACTGGGGATACAGACATTATACAGACGCAGAATCATTTTTTTATTACATCTTCCATGTTAGGAAACCCAGTCAGAATCACTAACCTAAATGGGAAATCCTTGAGATAGCAATGTTGTTCCAGCAGGCTAACCATAGCTTGGGTGACATGCTTATGTGATGGAGTAAGATCCTGCATGGGAATTGGGGAAAAACAAAAAGAGAAGGGCTGATGTACTCTACTCTTGCTCATCCCTGGTGTAAAGTGGATGAAAGGCACATGCTGGGACCCACATTGACATTTAAGCTGCTTAACAATAAAGTTATATATGAACCAAGAAGAATACACCTTGGAAGCATTGCCATGATGCCTATAAGGGTGACTCAAGGGGCAGCTGAATCGAAGCTTTCACAAAACTTTTTGTTAATGACTGAGCCTAAAATCACAGCCACATCACTGGACTTAGTGACCTCTGTTCACCTCTGCTTAACATCTACGTTTTTTCTCCCTAACTGCATCTGTATATTCCCATCCTGTGGCCAATTCATATTGATTCCTCTACACAAGAAAGCAGGCACTGTGCAATCTCTCTGGCAGAGGTTCAATTTGTATTGATTGTGGTGGCACGCTACCATTTAGGTTATAACAACTCTGTCCCTGCTGCTCTGAGTGGAGGTCTGGTAACCCTTCAACATCTCCAGCCAAAACCCTGCCCCTGAAAGAGGAGAGGCAGCACTCTGCCTACTGACATCAGATGAACTCCAGGCAATAAAGTGTCAAAGGTTTGGGCATCAGCAGCAAATCTGTCAACTGTGTTATCCCTCACACCCTTTCTCTGAGCAGTCTCACCTGAGGCTTCAGCTCTCATCTGAAGACCCAAACACCTACGTGTTCAGCCCACACTTCCCACCTCACCCTCAGCTTGCAGCCACCACGGACTCCACTCCCTTAGCCAAATCTACTTCCAGTTTCCTAAGCTGTTCTTGTTGCTGTGCTCAGTGCCCCCGCTGCCAGCCCCTACTCCAACACTTCCACTGGTCATGGCAACATTCCTCCTTTAAAGGGGTCATGGGCACCTGGGCCAGTCACGGTGGAGTAGTACATGCAGTGCACATGCAACAGGTACATGTGAGAGCACAGGGAGCAGTCCCAACTCCCAGGTGGGCTGCAGCTTGGGAGTGCTGCTGGACCCTGACCCCAGGGCAGGGGTATCACCACTGCCAAGGCTTGAGCAGGCTTTGTGTGTGGACTCTGAGCTCAACTGATGGTTAATACATCAAAACTTTCTACCAGGGATTACAAAAAAACCTGCTTGTCCCCATAATTTTGGTGAGAGCTGCTTTCTGGCCCACTTCGGCCCCCAGCTCATCTTTGGCTCCTCTTTTGGTGTACCATGTTTTTCCAGACCCAGCTGCTTTTTTGCCTGTTCCATGTTCAGGGCTTTCCCTCCTCATGCCTCACTGTTTGTGATTCCTCTGGACTCAAAGGAACCATCAACTGAAACCAACCAGTATTTCAATATCATGTTGAATCAGGCCTTCCTTTTACCCGTTTTGAATACTGCTTTCTCCTCCATGATTTAACTCTCATGATCACAATACACTAGTGCCTTCAGGTCTTACAAAATGCAGCCACTAACTCGCCTTCTCATTAATTTAGTCTCATAAGTCCTTTAATGGTTGCAAAGGCTTTTTCCCTACTAATGCCTCTTGTCACTGTCTTCAAAACTCTACATACCTGCTCCATCCTCCTAATGAAACAACCCACTTGGCATTAACGTCAGTAGACTGTTCGTTAAGAAGTGATCTGTGAAATAAAATAAATTTTAAAGAATAAAAAATTAAAAAATAAGTTTTAAAGAAACTAATACTGAAATATACTGTATAAATACAGTATATGACAACTGCTCCTGTTCTGCAACAGGGGGGTGTACAAAGCCATGCATGTGACAGGTGGCAGTCATTCCCAGTAGTTTCAATGAACAAAATGTCTAAGGTCAAAAATTACTAAAAGAGTGGTCATCTTTTGTAGGTTATTAGCTTTGCTTCACACCACAACATTGAAATCAGCTAAGGGTGATCAATTGATAAATACACTCTTGAGTGCTGAACTTCATAATTTCATGTACAGAGATCACCACACAAGAACGTTGTGTGCAACATGCCTGGAGAGCAATCTCTTCTTTCCTCCCCCAGTGTACTCTTTGCAGCTACTGTGTGGTTACATTTGATTCAGTGATGCAGGCTTTGTAAAAATTGTACCTCTTCCAAAGACTAAGAGAAACATTACCTCTTCTGACTGGAGGGTGAATCAAAGTTCAGGGGGAAGCTGGCTGTTTCAGCTGGGAGGAAAAAGCCTCGTGATGGAGTCTTTGATTTGTTTGCTTTTGTATATTCATTTTGCATGAATATAAATGACTAAAAGCGCAAGGCAAAGGGAGTGAGAATATGATTTTTAACCTGACAGCCTCACGCTGCCACAGGCCTTCAGTCTCTGCTCAGCCCTGGCCAGTACTGTTTAATGTCTTCATCAGTGACACACAGACAGTGGGATCGAGTTCACCCTCACCGAGGCCACAGAAGACACTAAGCTGAGTGGTGCAGCTGACACACCTGAGGGACGGGATGCCATTCAGAGGAACCTGGATAAGC